GTGTTGCATTTCTGTTTCAGTCTTATTGTCCGTTTACACAATCCTACATTTATTAAACTATTCACAATTAAAAGTTCAAAAATTTGCACTAATAACACATGGTATTTCTCTATCTTTCACTAAATTTATTCAAGTTTTTCATTTTGTATATTTAAATATAAACTCTAAACATTAAAATAAGTTCACATATCAATTTTATTTTGTAATATTTTACCGACGTTGATTAATTAAAAAATCACTTAGCACACTTGTCTTTGCAAAGGTAAGATTGAGGAAAACGAGCGTTGCCCTATCTTAAACACCAAATATGTAGGATTCTTTACGATTTTTCTTTGTTTGTGTTTTTTGCGTTTACATTTTTGAAGTTATAATAGAGTTGTGAACACTTTTTCCATCTACATTTGTATATATATAACATGAAATTTATATTTAAGAAACACAAATAACTAAAAAACTATAATATTATAAAATTTATATCATATCAGGATGACTGAAGTACTTTCGCGAAGTACTCCTTTCTGCGTTTGCGGTCTTCGGCCGCTCTCTAAAAAAAATATCCCGGGTCGAGCGAATACTCGGGGTAACTGAAGTACTTTCGCATTGTACTCCTTTCTTCGTTAAAATTAAAAAAAATATATTGAGTTTTCGTTATATATTGGTTAAATTTTGGTTATTAYATCTGTTAGCGATTTCCACGTATTTTTGATAATGCGTTGTTTTGTACATTCGGCGACAGTATATTTAATATCATTATATAATATAATACATAATTATATTATTATTATATATTACTTATTTGCTTATTAAATTAAATAAAGAGCATATCCATATGCACGGATAGAGAAATTTTTGGGAAAAAAGGAATTTCAGCGAATTTCCTTATCACATGGCAGCGCTCCATTTTGTCGTAATTTTGAGCACACAAATGGTGTTCACTACGAGTGTAAAATGTAATTTTTAAAATAAAAATTTCTTAGGTAAAATCTTGCTAAAAGTGTAAAATGTGTGTAATTTGAAGAGAAAGATGTGAATGAAGTGTGTCTAATGTGATGAAATAGCTAATATCATATATCCTAAACTAAGCGTTTGCGGTACATATAACCCTATATATTTTTTAATCAGGAGAACTTCCTCTTTCCAACGGTACCTTCGCGGCGCCAAAGAATTGTACCGATTAGGCCACAAGACAAACTTGTTTATGAGAAATTCTATCAAGTTAGTGGTAATGACAAATCGTAGGAAGCTATACATGCTGTGCTGTAGAATATTTCTTTTCCGAGTTAATATAAACAAATAGTTCAATTGTGTACTATTTTACTTTTAAATAAGCGTACGTTAAATACTTATTTAACTTTATTAAAGACACGTTAACTCTTTCTAGAAAACACTGTCATAAAGTCCGCCAAGACTTACTCTTTTTCATTAGATCGTAAATAAAAAACAAAACTTAATCATTAGAACCAAAATTAGAATTTAATTCCAATCTTACCTTAGATGTACAAATAACATCACGGAGATTTATATTCATCCAGGAGTCGCAGCTAACCAAATGTCCATTATATGTTTCTCCATTCTTCAACTCTACTAACTACAATTATACACTCATCAATAACAATATCATCAATACACGATAAATAAATATGTTTACCATAGGGTGGCTCTGAGCCGTCTTTAGAAGCGTAAGAGGTAGCTGAAAACACTTGAAATAAGCTTAACGCAAAAAAATATAAAAGAATAATCATACCATTAGCTTACTAAGCTCAAACAATTTGTATTTAAATACACGCAGCTGGACCTTGCATATACTTATAAAGAAATCTAGTAGTAAGTCTATTATTACACACGTCAACTTTTGTTGCTAATTTTCGTACTATTCTCTTTTGCTGTCGCCCATTACGGGGTCGACTTTACTATACCGTCCCAGGATTTCAGGAATAAAATGGGTATGGTCGTATAGGGGAGATCAAGAATACATACAAATGTTTGCTAGTATGCAACCCTATTCTTGTTGTGCAAATGCAGTGAATTTAACTAAAACAAAATAATTAAAATAAAGCTTTATTTGCAATAAATATTTAAAAAAAATTAATATACAAAAACATTATAGTGAAGTGTTCGGCACGATTCCAATTACTTTGGCGGAGGGTTAAAAAAAACCGAATTTCCGTATAAATGGGRTATGTGCGGATAGGGGAGCTTCTCCAGAGGATTCAAATTTTCACGATTAAAAGTTCAAAAATATGCACTAATAACTCAAGGTATTACTCTATCTTCCATTAAATTTATTCACGTTTTTCACTCTGTATATTAAATATACACTCTAAATATTGAAAAAAGTTCACATTTCAATTTTATTTTGTAATATTTCACCCAAATTTATTAATTTAAAAATCACTTAGCGAACTCGGC